GGTAGCCAGCTCCGCATGAGCTCTACAGACTCTAGGCAGGTGCTCCGTGACAGCTTGTCATCTCCTGCCCACACCAAACACCTCCAGCTCCACCTCCTGCCCTGGAGCGTCCTCCTCGACCCCTGGCAGATGCCAGGCATGAGGCGGCACAGTCCAGGCATCGGGAATCAATGCTCCGTGGGATGCCTTGGATGGATGAGGGACAGGAGCTGGGGATAGCTCTTCTGCCCCACCTCCTCCAGGGTCTGTTCTCAGAGTTTTCAGAGCCCTTGAGGGGATCAGCACTGGGTGGCACCTAATGGCGGGCTGGGTGAAGTCACCCACAGAGGCTCCCTCTTCCTGCTTCCCCTCCACTCCTGCTCCGGCATTGCCTTCTCTATTAAAGCCAGAGCACGAATGGCCTTTGCCTCGGGCTCTGCTTTCTGGGAAGCCCAGCTGAGACATATTTTTTTGTTGTTGTTATTTTTCCTGCAGATCTTGGTGCAATGAGACTGTCAGGGAAAATTACTTCAAAAATTATATCTTTAAATACCTCTCCTGCCTGTTATGGATACTTGGCACATACTAGATCATCAGAAGGAACGTTTAAAGGCACACGAGTCTCTTAAATGTGCAATTGTTGTTTAGGTTTCCTTCAACCGGGTTTCCATTGAATTCTGAAAAGCTGTGATTTTATTAATGGCCGCCGATAAGAAAGAAAACCTCTCTTTCTAAGCCCTGTAAGTCCCTTGGTGGTGCCCCAAAATTGGGGACCGAGAGTAGTTGTCATCTGGCTGTGGTCTGCCCTAGCCTCTCTGTGTGGCTTCTCAACAGACTTCACAGCACACAGGCTCGCCACCAGGGTGGGGAAGAGGAAAAAACTAACTTTATGCTGTCATTTTAAAATGATGTGTTGTGACCTTGGGGGGATACTTAGCATGTCCTAACCATGAAACCAGGACAATACTGACATCGAGGATTTTAGGGAAAATGTGTCTGGCTCTAAGGAACCAAGTAGTTTCATGGTTTATGATGGCCAAGGGAAACTGAGTGGAACACACCGTTCCCCAGAGGGGCCCTTCGTGCCCCGAGAAGGTCTCTGGGTGACACTAGGACCTTGCTTGATGAAGTTGGAGGAGGGAGGGTCACTGTGCCCCCAGGAGGACGGGCACAGAGCTGGCTTGAGCTTCGGCCATGTTCTTTCAGGTGACTGAAGCGGGAGGGACTGTCATACACACTTGATGAGTGTCAAAGAAGATGCCGCGTGTGCAGGGCCTGAGGTGTCACGGACGGTCCCAAACAGGACTGGGAAGCCCAGAGCCTGAAAGGGAAGCTCAGGGTGGGTGTGAGTGGAGGTGACCAGGGGAGGACCTGAAGGAGAACATCTATGCCGAGGGCAGGTCTCCTGGGAGAGGAATCTGAGGAGATCCCATGTGCTGGCTGTGCTGCGATTGAGATGGATGTGGATTCGGGCTCCACGACCGCTCCCTGGCCTCAGAAGAAACAACAGACAGACCCTCGGGTACACCAGCTGCATTCCTGTCCGTGGCCATGACTCACTCTCCAGATCCATCGGAAACCGTCAAAGCAGGGTCGCTTCCAGAGACTCTCGGGGCGTGCGCTGGTTCTCAGCTCCGGCAGGGTGTTTTCCGTCCTGCCGTAACCTGGAAACGGGGGCTGTGTATCCTCGCCTGGGGAGATTTCCCCTGCTCTCTGCCTTTCGTAAGGTATTAAATTATAAGAATATTCTGGCTGAACCACACAGTGGTGGTATTCATGGTACTGCGAGATCATTTCTGAAATTCCCAGGAAACAGCTCAGAATCCTCAAAGCTCCTACCACAGTTTACTCTGAAGCCTGTTTATTGTGCCCTACTCTTTCAAGACTTGACTTTCATTATAAAATCAATTAACAGGTAATATTCTTGGGGCAGGACTAGCTCTGCTCAGCAGTCCGTGTAGGGCCTCAGGATGATGAGGTCATGGTTGGGGTGGTGGAGGGTGCTGGGGGGCCAGAGCTTCTACCATTTGGGGGTGGGAGGAGGATGAAGAGAAAAGGCAGTCTCTTTCTCTAGGACATGAACTTCTATCACCTCATGGAAAGAAACCCCTTCTCTCATGGTCTGTTAGAGAATGGCCTTCGTCAGTCCATCCACCCACCCACCTATCTACCCATCCTCCAACCCACTCTTCCATCCACCCACCCATCCATCCATCCACCCACCCATCCATCCACCCACTTATTTCAGCATAGCCCAGCTCTGTGCTTGTGCTATTTAAACTTTAAAAGAAAAAGACTGCACAACATTCCTACAACCACGGCCTTCGTCTCTGGTTTGGCTGCTTCTTCCTGTAAGCCAACGTTCCTCCAAACTCTCAGCCTGTGGGTGCTAATGAAGCTCCTGTCCCCTGCAGACCTTCGTCCGCCTGTCTCCTAACCACGGCCTGCTGTGGAGGCCTGCAGGGACCTGCCGCACAACACTGCTCTACACAGGGGCTGAGAGGGAGGCCTGGTCTTTGGGGTTTGGATTCTGGCTCAGTCACTTCCCAGCTGTGTGGCCTTGAGCCAGTTCCTCTGGCCTTGTGTCCACAGGTGAAGCAAGGCTCTGGGAGCTCCCGCTGGGTTAGAGAGCTGTCAGAATTCCCTGAGTCAGTGAGGCTTGAGAGTGCTGGGGGCCTGGCCTCCACGGCCGGAGCCGTGACATCTTAATACCCAGCCTGGCATGGACCTTCTCCCTCCAGGACACCCACCACCTGTGTGGCTGTGGTGGCCAAACGGTCACGTGTGGGGGCCAGTCTCCAGGAATAGGTTGGCTCTTGCAAAAACCTCCTACTGCCCCCAGCCTTCCCTTGAAAATGTCACCAGGTCTCCAAGAATTCCGTAATAACGCACTTTGAACGCCTTGTTCTTTTTTGTCAGGATGGTTTTCTGATCCATGACACCATCTCCTGTGACATCTATCAGCTTCGTTTTGCTTCCCTCAAAGAAGACCTGACACAAAAATCCCGTCTTGGAAAGTCTCAAAAGCTGAGTTCTTTTCTCCCTGTGCGCGTTTCCTTTCAGTCTTCCGCTGGTTTCTGGAGGGTGATCTTTTGTGAAAGGTGGCATTGGCGGCATTTGAAAGGTGTTCCTGCTCGAGACGTTTCAGGCAGTGGGGCCACCCTGCATCTCCTTTGTACCTGCATCCCATTCCGTAGGACTTAAAGCGCCGTCCTTTTGTTCTGCAGAACGTTCTTTTTCCTGAGTGCCTATGTGTCGTGCAGGGAAGGGTTTTAGAGACGGCGTAGTTCGCCACCTGGGGCGGCGGCTGCGTCACTGACTGGGCTCATCTCAAGGGTTGTTTGATTTCCATCAAGTGCAACTTATCAGCTCTGTGCTGAAACAGAAGAGGCCCCGAAGTCAGGACAGAAAAGAAGAGACGGGTGTTTTCCTTGCACTGCTCATTGTCTGGCTTCAGTCCAGACGATGTGTACTCCAGGTTCTCTTGGGTGGTAGGGGGTGCCGGGCAGGGGATCTGCATGGTGGTTTGCTCAAGAGCAGTCAGTGACGGTGGGCTGAAGACTGCAATCTCCTCCCTCCGTGCAAACACCCGCAGGAAGAAAGGAGGGGCCCACATTTCTGTGACCTTTCCAACTGGTCTGTCTCCTTTCTTCCCCATTCCTGCCAGAGACAGGTGGAAGCCTCACAGAACAGGGAAGAGCCCCCTAGACCCGGGTGGGCTTTTGCATTTGTGTTGGCTGGGATGCAGGGTGAGGGTGTCAATGACACGTGAGTGGCGTCACTTTGCCTCTCCAGGTTTCCATCCACACAAGGCAGTGAGCATGCACAGCATGGCCGACTGTCAGCACCAGGCGTCATCTGGTTCCCTGTTTACTTACACTAATCAGAACCCGAAGGCAAGGGTTTCCCAATAAAGAGCTGGGACATTCTCATGACAACATTGAATACTAAAGGGAACCGATGGTTATTTTTTATGAGATTGCTTTTAGGCTGAAATCCTTGACCTCAATATGAATTTGACGGTCAGTGGGGGTCACCCATCATGGCCTGTAGTCTCCTATAGCTTTCTCCTCGCTCCGTGTCTGACTGTCTTTCCAGGACTCCTCTTAGGCACTGCTATGTCCCAATGCCTGCTGGACACTAACCTCGGCGAGGAAGCCAGGTCCCAGTCTTGATTCTACTCACTTCCTCCATGATCTTGAACAAATCATGCCCCCAGCCTGCCTCGTTTCCTCCTGCAAGTTTACAGTCACTTCATTTCTTTTCAACTCAAAGCATATTTTCTAATGATGGCAAGAAGGTTGAATTAATAAAATGCCTCTCCCTCCAGGTCCCAGAATAGTTGGGAAGATGGCATCAGGCTGGAGCAAATGGGTGGTGTTCACATTCGCAGTCAACGCCACTCAGCTCCCAACTGCCCACCCAGGAATCACACCCAAAGCTCCAAAGCATACCATAATGACATCTGTGGCACTCTTGTCAGTCTCACAAAATGAAAATGCACAAGTTAGCCATAAACGACGACAGGAAACAATAGCTCAGCGCGAGGAGGAACTCTGACTTTTAGCATCAGAGTTGTTTAGTTGAAAATGATATTTAAAAAGAAGACCTGGGGCACAATGAGTGACAGGAGAGTGCAGCACTGTGAGGGCTGTTGTGATGAAGGGGACATTTCTGCTCCTGCTGTTGGCCCAGAGCCTCTGCTCTCTCCCTCGTGTTCTCAATGAGGTCATTGTCCATCAACAGCAGTCTCCCGTCTGGCTTCCCTGGTGACCTGTGAGGCGCACTGAGCAGTGGTCAGGGAGGGGGCTGCGTCTGCGGGGCTTGAGTCACCCCTCTCCTGGGCTGTCCCTTTTCTGGGTTGGCTCACCACTACCGTGTTCACCATCTGAGCTAAAGTAGCACAGAACTGGATATAATGGGAGAGACATTTGGCAAGAGGAAAGAGACAGGAGAATCCTATTACATCTGATAATTTCTTAAAAATGTTTACTTATTTATTTATGTATTTTTGTTTTTAGCGACAAGGTACTGGAGCGACCAATGGAAAAGATAAGACATCAGGCGAAAACGGTAAGATGACGCGGTGTCCTGCCCCTTCCTCTTGCCCCTCCGCAGCAGCCTTGGGCCCCAGCAGGGGTGGATCATGCCTTCCATCCAAATCTGCTTACTATTTATGTCCCTGCGTCAGTCTAGAGTGGGTTTTAGCAATTCACAGTGAGCACCCTGGTCTGGCTTTACAAAGAAAACAGAGCTAGCTAAATGCGGTGATAAGAGCAGTTTCCCTCCCAAAAGAGGACTCCCATTTGGGGCAACAGGATAATTACCATGCAAATATAGTTCTCTGCTTTCTTCATTAGGGTTGGTGAGAATCCATCCGAGTTGTTGTGAGGATAAAATGAGATCAAATGAGATAAGTGCTTTGAAAACTGTGAAGTGCTCAACTTCTGAAAGGAGGTTTGGAGACTTGCTCCCCTGTTCCTAGCACCCAGAGCAGGGTGCAGGTCCCTGGGGTGGTGCTCACGGGCGACTGGTGCTTTTAGGGTCACCAGCAGACACAAGTAACGGAGGAGAGAGGAGCTTTGGCCTCCTGTCTCTGCAGGCTTCCCTGCAGCCTTAAGTTTCAAAGTTTCAGGAATGAGCATCATCGCTTATGGATTGGGAAACCAAGAAAGGTGTGGGGGTGTTGGGGTGTGGGCAGGAACGGAAGCCAATGGAGGGTGAAGGAAGTGGAGCCCGCTTTGCCCCAGGTCCCTAACTTTAGCAGTGAGATGGCAGGTGACATCATAATGGAAGATCCCTGCCACGCGGAGGAGTCCGGCATGCCCTGGATGATCTCACTTGTGATCAGTTACAGAACGAATCCTCATTTTGTGGGAAACAGCTGTTGCCTCTAGTCAGATGGAATCTGTGCCATGTTGACCAATCATATTGCAAAATGCCAATCTCAAATGCACCTGTGAGGATTCCTTGGGGTCCTGAAGACACTCTGGGTTTCTGAAGTGAGTCTGCACTGGGGCCTGAGCAAGACTCAGTTCCCTCTGTGCTGACCTTGTCCTTCTGGGCAGGGTCAGAGGGTTGACACCTCAGTAAGTAGAGGTTGTCCTGTTCAAAGCAGGGCCTGGGGAGAAAGGAACCAGGGTCCTTCCCAAACCCGGCTGTGCCTTCCTTGCTGCCCAGAGCCTTTGCTGTCTGCTGTGAGGAGCTGGGTGTGTGGGGGATACTGGCAGGATGTCAGAGAGCAGAGGAGGGAGAAGGAGGGGGTTTACAAGCGAGGAGGGAAATTATAGCTGCCTAAAAGAGGAAGAACCAGCTGCCTGACACAGGGGAGCGTCCTGCATGCAGGTCCCTGGAGCAGCATCTTGTTACCCTGTAACGGAGTAACGGAGGAGAGAGGAGCTTTGGCCTGAGGACCCCAAAGAACTTTTGTTTATGCTCCTCGTATCCATTGGTGGCTGCCATATTAGAAATGGAAATGGAGCCCTTTAGGAAGGTTACTTATGAATTCACTAAAAAAAGTAATAAACCAGTTTTCCTGTTAACCTTAGTAACACTCTTTATTTAGGAAACGTGATCACATTCTCCGACACAGAAAGGGTCTCTAGTGGCAAGGGGGCAGTGCTAAGCCTTTCTGCACCTCTTGCATGTCCCGCTCGGCAGAGGGCGGCTGGGTTTTCCTGCCTGCATCTGCATTCAGTGTGTTGTGACAATGCATGACACGCAGCCTCTAGACAATCCCACTGTGCCCTTGTGAGACGAGGAGGTTTTAAAAAGCAAATAACATCTTTTAAGGTTGAATAACATCTTTCACGGTAATACTGTCTTTCATAAGAACAAAAAATGCGTTTGGCCTCCTGGGATCCTCTCAAGGAGGTAGGCACCCAGGGCTCCTGGTCCACACGTGGAAGACCGGGCTTCAGTGTCACTCCTGGCCACACCTGAGCAGCCGGGAGTGTGAAGATGTGGGGGCGGTGTCAGTTCTAGGTGCTGTGTGTGGGGGTCCCTGGTGCTGGCTTTCCCTGGCATCCTACCAGTCCTGGTGGGCACAGCCATGTCCCCAGCTTTGCACCAAAGGGATCTGTCAGCTATCACCGAGGAGGGGACTCTCTGCCTTTCAATGCTGGCAGTTCTTTCAGCTGAAAACTGGTGGAAACACCAGTGGAAACAAGAGGGAGCCTTTTCTGGAGGAATAAAAATTAATCGAATGGAAAAACTGAAGACGCTATGAATAAAGCTCTTCATTATATAATTCTAGATATTAAAAGATACTTGCCTCTGAGTGGTAAAGGGGAGCTAGGGATTATTGGATAATTATAGGATAGTGTCACTGTATAAATCTAAATTATTATCACCATGCTCTACCTTAATTTTAGGTAAAACTGCTTATGTATACTTTATGCACAAGATATATAAATAGAATAGTCAATGTTTTTTTTTTTTTTTTGAGACTTTTGCCACTAAAAATGAACAAAGACAAAAGCCAGCAATGGCACAGCATAGATTGAGAAGTTTCTAGAAGTGGGCCAAGGGTCATTTTTCTAAAGAATCTGTTATTTAATCTCTTAAATCTTGAAATTTCCATTTTAACTTAATATTGCACACCAGTGAAATTCAAAATATATTACTGTCGCCCCAGCTGTCTAGGGAGGTGTGTGGTGTTAATGTGTTTCCCATTAATATTAAATGACGCTGCCTTCGTGTGTGCAAGGAGAGCGACCCCCGAGAGGATGTGTGCCCTGTGAAACCCCAAAGCACCGACAGTAGCTGCTTAACCATAGCGAACATCCCCACCTTCCAGAGCCATCTGCAAACCAGCTTGTTTTTGTCCCAGGTTCTATAAATTTAATTGAGGCTTCAGCTTGACACAGAAAGAAAAAAGCTGATAGGTGCTTTGAAATTGTATCATCAAGATGCTGGGTCAGGAGCATTAACATTTCAGAGGGTATGTACATTCTTGGGCTGCTAGAATTTTGTTACCTTAGTTAAAAATTATCTCGAGGGAGCTCTAGCTGGGAATCCGGTTTCCTGTAATTCTTGTTGTCATGGTATTTATTGACAAGAAATCTGACATACAGCTGGAGCGTCCCTGGACTCCTCCTCATTTTCCAAGATCGCAGTCTCTAAATATACAGCCCAACAAATCCAGATCTTCCTTATGGCTCTAGGTTTTGCAGAATTGCCGTGGCTCTCAACACAGAATCATCTGCAGTATGGATACAGAATTTTCAGAAATAATAGTTACAGATTATTTTTTAATTTAGAAAACAAATTTATCAGGACCTGGGCGACTCCAGTGACAAGTCTCTGTCCATCTAGAAGCCTAAGTGAAAGTCACATGTGTTTTCTAAGTACAGACACAGCCATGTGGATCTGGATTATTTCTCACACATTATCTGCTTGGACACAGTCAAAGGATGTTTTCATGGGACAGTAATTTCCCTGGATACCTTGACGTGGATTTTGATATTGGAGACCCCAGGAGTTAGATTTCTTTGTTGTTGTGCACAGGTACACACATTTCCGGAGGAGATGGAAGAAGAGATTTATGAGAACTAAGCCTCCCGATGGCGTGTGGAGGCTTACCCAAGCTAAATTGAGTTTCTAAAATGGGAAGGGATTTCTCAAGACGGTGAGCTGTGATGCATTTGTTTCCAAAGGCTCTGACTCGGGGGCGGAAGGCTAGGAACACATCTGCTCCCAGGGAAGAATCCCTTAAGTCCCCGCTGCAGGGAAGCATCACCCAGAGCTGCCCAGGGGCCTTGGGACAGCTGCTGTGTCTTCCTGGTGTGTGAGCCCTGCAGAGGGCAGAGGCTCCGGGCTTGAATAGGCGTGTCCCCTCTTGCAGCTAGAGCCCTGACTTGAGATGGCTTTGGTAGGTGTGAGGGTGTGCTAGGAGCTCGTGAAATGCAGCCTGATTTGGTATGGTTGACTACACGATCGCTAATACTGGGTGAGACACAATGCAGCTGTGCCAGGATTTCCCCCCATTTTGAATAAAACCCAAGCCTTAGGAGTTTAGCTTCCTCTCACCTTTGGATTTTGAGGGAACCCACCACAGGTTCACATAGAGTCATTTTCTTATTTTTCTGCTATCAAGTAAGTAGAGAGAGAGAGACAGCGATTGAGGAGGACCTGTGTTCATAGACATATTTACATTTCCACTAACTAAGCCAAGTGACTTTTAAAATAAGAACTAAAATCCAAATGCTCATTTCCAGAGCACTATCCACTCCAACCCTGCCCCTGGGCTCCACATCACCAGCTGGAGGCCACCTAGGAGACACCACACACTTGCATTTACCGTTTGGTGGTCTTGGTGCATGGTGAACTCCCAAGACCCACACCTTGATTGGGCAGGTTTCACCTGGGATGCACTCCTGTCTCTCCTGGCCCTGTGCACGTGTCAGGTGAAACCCCGTGTGACAGTGGGTGGTCAGCTTGGAGCAAGGGGAGCTGATGTTGGATGCAGGGACAGAAAGTGGCTGAAGGGCATTATCATGTCCAGGAGAAGGTCAGTTTGGGCAGGAGACGCTCCCTGGGTGACCTTGTCTCTGTGCACACCCAGCTAGGGTGGAAGGCTAGAGGCAGAAATGCAGCTGCTACAAGGGCTACAGAGGGCTGATGCCCTGCAAGAGCCTCCCACAGCGGCATGGCTCTGTTCGGATTCAAACGTGGCACGTGATCAGGTCAGAGATGAGGACAGATGCAGGGAAGAGCAGCAGCTGGCAATTGGGACTTTCGCTGTTCCCGTGGGCTGGAATGTCAAGGTGCCTGGAGGCCAGGGGCGTGCAACCCGGTGTACCCCAAGGACAAACATGCCAGTTCTGCACACATCTCAAGAGCTTAGCTGCAAACTTACCATGCTGGGACAAACCTCCGGAAAAAGGCAAAAGCAGCTTACAGTGTGTCGCAGTGACAGGAATCAGAGACGCATTGTTTATAAGTTTATGGCTGCACCGGGGAAGGCAGCTCCCTGCAGTTTCCCAACTCTAGGTGTTCACGTGTCCAGACCACAAAGCCTTCGATCTGCAGTGGAACCGGTGCTGCAGAGCTGGGGCCCCCTGAGCTGAGAG